TTATTAAATTTTGGTAGCTAGGTAAATAACTTATCACTAGCTAGCAGCAGACTCAAAAATTTTGCTTGGAGGAGTCAATATGAAAACAAAAATCAAAACAAAAGAAATAAATTATCTATTTGATATTATATTGTGCACTTGGTTCTGTTTTGTAGTCATGCTCATGTTATATAAATTATCACTTTAAATTCAATTAATGACATTGCATCCTTTTTGGGGAATTATTTAGAACTCTTCTTGATCTCCAAAGATAATCCAACTTCTTTTTTTCTTTTTTCTTTTTTCAGTTCTGCTTTAGAATTGGATGAGTCTTGGCACATATTCTATATGGACTTCATTTATGCATCTACAGATTTCAAGACTCTCCTTGGTCCACATAGGTTATTTCATCTTAATTGTTCAAATTTTCTTTTTTTATGAATTTGATATGTGCATCAATATGTGTCATTGTCACTTTGGAATTGTGCAATTAAATCTTTTCACCGGAAGACTCCAAGTCAATGAAGGCACTGGACACTATTACATAGGGATAAATTATTAGATAGTCTTGATCCATTTAATACTTTGTTGATTAATTCAATAAAAGTTAATATTGAGATTTCTTTACAATATATTAATACACTCTTGTGAGCCATTTTCTCAATCCCAGGGTTTGAATTAAACTGGTCCACCAATTATTAATAGTTCAGAACCATCTAATAATTTCTCTCACATGGTGGGTCAAAAGTATTAAATTAATCTTTTTCCAAGTTGAAGATTTCAAGTCAAGGCATAACTTAACTGGTCCAAAAGTATTAAGTAAGAATTTCTTTATGGACTCCAACATGGGCTAAGGTGGTATGACTTCCAGCCTCATGTAGAATATTGCAGTGCATGTATGACTTCGAGCCTCATGCAGAATATTGTGGTGTATGTGATTTTGTACTTATATGATTTCCGGTCAAAACAAAAACAAATAATAATTTTTTTTTTTTTTTTTGTTGAAAAATCAATTGTGCTTGTTATGAAGAATATAGATTCTTTACACACAGAGTGTCCGTTCATGCCAAATTCTCTTGAAGAATTGAATACATTTTCATAAGATATTTTCTTTTAAGTATCCAACATCTAACAAGTCTTGAAATCAAAATGTAACTTTTTTTTTTTTTTTCAACTACATAGTCTGCAAGCATGGGATTAATTCGAGTAGTAACTCAGTTGGACCTGAAGTTTCATGAAATATCAGGTCGATCACGACCACAAGTGAAAGATTAAACTTTATCCGACCTGTAACTTCACTTTAGAATTATGCAATTTAGCCTCCCCCAAAACTAAGAAGAGGGGAATTGTAACACAAACACACTCGATTGGAGAGCTGATCTTTGTATCACCTAGGCCATTAGGTAATGTCCTAAAATTTTGCTAATTAATTAATTAGTGAATTAAGAACACCTATTTGGTGATTGGTAGTCTGGTAGACATAGTTTTCTGGTTTATTAAAACTTGATGGGTGGTTTAAGTGATCTTCATTTTCAAATCCCAATTTTACTTTTCTAGTCAATGAAATATATATATATATATATATATATATAGAGAGAGAGAGAGAGAGAGAGAGAGGGAGAGAGACTTGTCCTCCGGAAGTGGTTTTATTTTTGTTTTTTTTTAGGGTAAATTATATTGACACCCCCTAGAAGTTATGTCAAATTTTACATTTACCCTTATTTTTATTTGTTATTTCTTGTGAAATTCTTTATGTGTTTGAACTACCAGTTTTATATATATATATATATATATATATATATATTGAGTACCAAATAATTTTACAACTTGAACTCGTTAAGGTTTTCAAAATTGCTAATTAAGTACTAAAGTTAGTAATGTGTAATTTACAATTTACAAAACAACTCCTCTGAAATAATAATAATAAAAAAAGCAAAGAAAGAAAATAAGAAAAAGGTTATAAACACAAATTTTTGACTTAAATGATTATAAAAAAAAATTGAATATAATTAATTGTCATTGCATCCATATATAATTAAGTATCATGACCCATCTGTTTCTTAATGTCTTTGTATCTTCCTATTTTTTAAAATTATTATTTAATTTTTTTTATACTAATGATGTTGTAAGTCAAGTTTTCAAAGTCTTGTGATCATTCTTAGCCTCAAAAACAAAACAAAAAAAAAAAAAAAAAAAAAAAAAAAAAAAAAAAAATGGTTCGCAAGTATTAAATAAATATTTTTCCAAGCTGAAGATTCCAAGTCAATGAAATATATTCTACTTTTCTAGTCAACAAAATCTATAAGATAGACTTGTCCTCCCAAAGTGGTTATATTTTCTTTTTGTTTTTATTTGTTCTTTCTTGTTAAATTCTTAAGATTTTAATTCTCTTTATGTGTGTGAACTACCAGTTGTATACATATATAAAAAAGTAGACATTTTTTTTTTTTTTTTTTTGGAACAAAGGGAGTACTATAAAATAAAATAAAGGGTAATTTGCACTCACACCCCCTTAAGTTTGCAATAAAAACAGGTAGATACAATTTAGAGAGAGTGTGATCCAATTGTCCCCTCAAGTTTGTAAACTTGAACAACACTCCAATCATGATAATAGTACGTAATTGCCTTTTGATTTTTGAATTGACCCATTTAAATCATAAAAGTATAATATAACCTTTTACAAGTACTTTGATTTGACCAATATGACCCTTGACAAAAAAAAAAAAATTAAAAAAACTTCCACCATGGCCCTCGCATTTTTTTAGAAATACCTTATTATAATATTAAATTAAAATTATTTATGGTAATGTTTTACATAAAAATTAAAGTTGGCCCCCTCAAATTTTTTTTGTAACACTCTATTTATGGTACTAAATCATAGATACTAATAATTGTTTTCTGTATAAAAATTAAAGTTGATCTCTCTATATTTTTTAAAAAAAATCCATATGGTTCCCTTATATTAAATATAGTTTAATAATGAAATTACTTGTAACCCTTTCAAATTCCAATAAACCTCTTGCTATAAAAGATCAAATTTAGTAAAAAAATTTATTAATTATTATGATAGTCCTTATAACAGCATACTATATTTACGCATACATATATTCACACACATACATAAATATTATTTGTTATGAATTAGAAAGGGAAAAAAAAATTATTCACTTGACAACAACAATAATTCAATCCACAAATTTTCTCTTGTATTACTTCTAATTTCTCTTCAAGTTTATTAACTTTATCAGATAACTGAAGTAATAACTGAATTAAAAAGTTATTTTGTCTAATATGTATATTAGCTGCGTCTGTTTTAAAACTAGTAAATCCTATAGGTTCTTTATCAATTTTGTAAAGTTCAGCTAACGATGTTAAATAATCAGGACTACTGGTGCTCATAAAACAATTGTAACAATTTTTGGATATCGGTTTTAAGGGATTTTAAGGAGTCTAGGATTATTTTTTTGTTTTCAGCAATATTCTCAATATCATTGTTAATATCTTTAATTGTGACTAATATTATCTTATTATCTAAATTATTTGAACTAGAATTATGTACTACTTGTTCTTTAATATAATCTAAATTTTCTCCTAATCGTTTTATAGAGGTATCTAAATTATTAAAGTCAAGTCTATTTATAAACTAAAATCGTTGCCGTCTAACTTCTAAAATATTTTGTATTAATATAATTCTAGATCTAAGTTCTTCAATTCTTCTTTGTAGACTACGGGTGGTGTCTTCTAATTTTAGCGCTATGTAACAGTTCCTAAGTGCTGTTTGACAAAATCCTAATACTTGAATAAGTTGTTCTTTGGGTAAATTGTGCATAAATTAAACTCCTAGGGGTGAAAATATAAATTCAGCTTAATAAAAGACTAAAATAGAACTTGGTTCATGTATTTGTAAATATGTAAATTACGTTTGGCTATGGGTAATATACTTATACTAAGCCCACTTTACTGTAAAAGTCTCTTATATTTATTTGATACTTAATATATATAAAGAAACATAATTAATACATTTAAAAAAAAAAAAAAAAAAATACGAGACCTCTTTTGCTATCGTCAGTTGCTAGGAAAAAATAAAAATAAAAAATTTGGCTCCTTAGGCAGCCGCTTATCGCCTTCCAGTTGAGCCGCCCTGAGCATATCTTACTGATAATTTGACAAGAGGAGTTTCCTGTGACTTGTAAGATAGAAAAGCTTTGAAGTCATATATATATATTATTGCTAAATCCATCTCAGATATGTTGGTTGCTTGTGCATTTAAATACCTTGACCATGCTAAATGTTAAATATAGCATAAATATGGTATAGACTTGGCAGTTAGATTAACTAGCCTCATGTTTATAACGTTTGGCACGGTCAGGGCTCCTCATTCACGCGTTTTTTTTTTTTTTTTTTTTCAGAATTTGTAAAATTTTCCATATTCTTATTTTAACTTCTCTTTTTGTTTTTGTTTTTGTTTTTGTTTTTCTCATTTTTTACTATGCATAAGTTTTATAACTCTAAGATCAATTATGTGACAAAAAAGATTAATTGGGTTGATTATAGATATTTAAAGGCCATTTTTATATTTTTTGCCTAAAGCCTCAAATTATGTTGAGCCGCCCCTGGTCAAGGCATTTAAATGCACAAGCAACCAACATATGTGAGATGGATTTAGTAATAATATATATATATATAGAAAATTCTACCATGCCAACATCATAAGGTTGGAAAAGTTAGAACATAGAACTGTATATAAATCAAGCCTGGTATTGAAATCCTCATAGCACAATCGTGAGAGATCACAACTTAGACATCTTCTTTTTTCCCTATAAATTTCAAGGAAAGTGAGTTCAAGATATTACAAGTTTAATCCATCTCACACATTGCAGGTTTATTTTAACGGAGCTTTATATATTTATTTGTTTTTTAAATGCTCCTCTTACACTTACTAATTAGATTATTTTTGAGGATTTAATATGTTGTCTTTGCTTTCCAGAAACGTGAGCTACTTAAAGTTTCTCTGAGCTGGAATGGGGCTTCCAGACTTGGGCTTATGCATATCAAGGTCACTTCTTTTCAATATTTCTATGTATGTAATAGTTGCATGTTGCTTGAGCTTGATGCATGCAAGCATGCCTACCAATGCAGCCACCTCCAGGCTGAGTGGGAATGAGACAGACCGACTTGCACTGCTGGCATTCAAAGCCAAAATAACCAATGACCCTCTTCAGGTTATGAGTTCATGGAATGGTTCCAATCACTTTTGCCAGTGGCATGGTGTCACCTGTGGTTGCCGACACAAAAGGGTCACCGAGTTAGACCTCGGGTCCCAGAAATTGTTCGGGTCCATATCCCCGCATGTTGGAAATCTAAGTTTCCTGAGACTACTATACCTCCACAACAATAGCTTTGAACAAGAAATCCCTCCAGAGCTGGGTCATTTATGGCGACTGCGAGTTTTAGGCCTCAACAATAACTCAATAAGTGGCAGAATTCCTGCCAGTTTATCTGCTTGCTCTAACCTTCATTCCTTAGTTTTGGAATTCAACAACCTTGAAGGGCCAATTCCTGTGGAATTGGGCTCCTTGTCAAAGCTCCGTGGTATTTTTATTAAGAAAAACCACCTAACTGGAAGTTTACCTCATTCTCTGATGAACTTATCATCTCTGGAGCTACTTTCTGTGTCCGACAATAATTTTGGCGGGAGTGTCCCAGATGCACTTGGTCAACTTAAAAAGCTAACAATGATTGCACTTGGAAGCAATTGGTTTTCCGGCACCATCCCTCCCTCAATATTCAATCTCTCTTCTCTGACAAGTTTCGAAGTGGTAGGAAACAACATTACAGGCAGCCTTCCCTCCGATATAGGCATCACTCTTCCTAATATTCAATATTTCGATCTTTACAATAACCACTTTACTGGATCAATTCCTACCTCAATATCCAATGCATCGAATTTGGTATCATTTTTTGTGGGTAGAAATAATCTTACTGGAAAGGTACCTACAATGGAGAGACTGCATAAGCTGAATAATATCAAATTAGTCAGCAATCATCTTGGGACTGGGGATAATGAAGACTTCAACTTTTTGTCGTCTTTGACCAATGCCACCAATTTAAAGGTGTTGGTCTTGGACAGAAACAATTTTGGAGGAATGCTTCCCAAATCCATCTTCAATTTCTCAAACAAGCTTGAATTCTTCAACGTGGCCAAGAATCAGTTATTTGGGACTATCCCGGATGGGATTGGGAATCTAATCAACTTGACTTGGCTAAATTTGTGGGGCAACAAGTTCACAGGTAACATTCCCACGGAAATCGGAATGCTTCAAAAGCTACACAAAATTGACATGTCAGATAACAATTTCTCTGGATGCATTCCCTCCTCGTTTGGGAATTTAAGTATGTTAAACCTCTTGGATTTGGGAAGCAATGATCTTTATGGCAACATCCCTCCAAGTCTTGGGAAATGTCAAAACTTGTTATCACTTGATCTTTCCAATAACAATCTCAGTGGTACCATGCCCTCAGAAGTTGTCGGTCTCTCCTCCTTATCCATCCTTCTCGAATTGTCTCAAAACCGTTTCACTGGTTCACTTCCCATAGAAGTTGGAAATTTGAAAAATTTAGGTCAATTGTATGTTTCTGATAACTTGCTGTCCAGTGAAATTCCTAGCACTATTGGTAGCTGCGTGGTATTAGAAATATTATCTATGGCGGGTAACTTCTTCCAAGGGAACATTCCATCATCTTTGAGCTCTCTAAGAGGTATTCAAGTTTTAGATCTTTCTCACAACAATTTGTCAGGGAAAATTCCAGAATATCTTGAGGGCTTTGCATTCTTAAAAAATTTGAATCTATCTTACAATGAGCTTGAGGGTGTGGTACCAATAAAAGGTGTGTTTGCAAATGCAACTGCAGTTTCAGTCACCAGAAACAGTAAGGTCTGTGGAGGTATACCTGAATTACAGCGGCCTCCATGTAACTTCAAAGGATCCAAAAAGAGGGGATTAACGCTTACATTAAAATTTATAATCCTCACAGCGTCAGGGCTTCTTGGATTAACATTACTGTTGTGCATTCTATTTCTTTGCTGCTGTAAAAAAAAGAGAGTGACACCTTCATCGGAAAATTTAGCAAGTTCTTTTTTCAAAGTATCCTACCAAAGTTTACATAGAGCTACGAATGGTTTCAGCGGCTCCAATTTGGTAGGGGTGGGTAGTTTTGGGTCTGTATATGAAGGACTCCTTGATCAGGAAGGGAAAAAGGTTGCAGTGAAGGTACTTAATCTTTTCCAGCCCGGAGCTTCCAAGAGTTTCATCAATGAGTGTGAGGTGTCGAGGAACATCAGACATCGGAATCTTGTCAAGGTGATCACTGCATGTTCTAGTGTTGACCAACAAAATAACGACTTCAAGGCTCTGATTTATGAGTTCATGGTTAACGGGAGCCTAGATGATTGGTTGCATCCAAATCAAGAACTTGAGGCAGACGAGGAACAAAAAAATTTAAGTCTTGTTCAGAGATTGAATATTGCCATTGATGTTGCTTGTGCACTTGATTATCTCCACCACCGTTGCCAAACTACAATAATTCATTGTGATATGAAACCAAGCAATGTTCTTCTAGATGATGACATGATTGCACATGTAGGTGACTTTGGGATATCAAAATTTCTTCTTGATGCTAACCAGAACGATAGTGGAAACCAAATCAGTTCCGTTGGAATCAGAGGTTCCATTGGTTATATGCCACCAGGTATTAACTATACAACTTTATTTATTTTTTATTTCTCTGTTAACATTTCTTTCCCTAATCTTAAAGAGTTCTGGTGATATATGTATTATCACACCGCCAATTCAGTTTAAGTAAGATAGAACAAAAAAAGTTGTCTAGAAATACTTTCTGGAGTTATTGTCCACTTTTGTTATATGTATTATACTAGCTTTGTTCAGGTGCTCTGGCAGAAAACTCTAAGGAACATTGCTAATCTTTGTTTTGAAATTCATAATTAGCCTTTTTGAGTCATCCAACATGTTTGTCAAGTTTTGGTCCAGAATTGCAACTAACATGCATGATGCATATTGTTCACAAGTATTTAGTCACTTGAAATAACCGATTTGATGTGCATGACGGACGATAAATTAATTATTCTGGTCTGCTCTACAAGCTTTTTCATGCTTGAAATAAAGTTTTTGAAAAACCTTAATTTTCTAGAAAGTTTGATAAATAATAATTTCGACTAAAATTTTGATTTTTCAAACTAGGACTGAGGTTTTATGTAGTTGAGGCATCTAACTTAATCGACCTAAAAGATGGGGAAAGGAGTAAGAAAAAAAAAAAAAAAAAAAAAAGGAATGGTGTTTGCTAAAAAGATAAACTATTAGCCCAAATTGTTAGCTGAGACATGATAGATTGGAATCATGAATGTAGCTTACCGTGTTAGTCAAGATATGATAGATTAGAAAAATGGGATTTGACTTTATTTACACATATGTCTAGGCATAAAATATGGATTTTATTTAGTTTTCTTCCTTATAATATTAACATGTACTCTTTTTAATATATGAATACCAGAGATGAATGAGTGTTTGAAGCCTCATTCAATCCTTTACACATTATCATTCTCATTCAAACATTTACACAATTCTCTTCTATTTCTTATTTCTTATATTTCTACTTGGTGTCAAAGTCAGGGTGGTTTGACCGCAATGAGAGCATTGCGAGTTCAGTACACCCATTCAAGAATGGTTGATTAGACAATGTCGATGGTTTGTGGCCTGTCTAAGGAGACATTGGTGATTCTTCTATCTACATATTTTAAAACTTGTGTATGAAGAGGAATTGTGTGATGAATGACAATGTTGATTCTTTCATCTACATATTTTAAACATATTTAGGAAGAGGAATGGTATGAGGAGACAGTAATAATTGTTTATGGTCTAAGGAGACATAGTTTGTTGGTTATGGTCTAAGGAGACATTCTTAATGGTTTATAGTCTAACACGACACTAGCTGAGTCAGATAAGACACACGGTGGTTTGAAGAAAACACCATTGTTATATCTTGGCTAGTTAATTTGATACAGCCAAACAAAGTCATTAGCTATATATTTATAAAGAACAATATTTGAGGATATATGCATTCTCTAAGTGGTCATGTGAGAGATTCATGCACCAACTTGAGAAGGAGTTATAGCTTAAATATGATATGCTAGAATCATAAGTGTAACTTACCATATTAGTTGAGATATGATAGGCTAGAATCATAGGATTTGACTTTGTTTACATATATGTCTAGGCATAGAATAACAATGATTTGATTTAGTTTCTTTTCTTGTAATATTAGCCTGTGCTCTTTTTAGTATATAAATAACAAAGTTGAATTAGTGGTTGAAGCCTCATTCAAGCCCTTACATATTATTATTCTCATTCATGCCTTTAAACATTTCTCTTCTATTTCTTTTATCTTGTATTTCTTCTCATATGCATGTTAAATGAGATGCAATTCACCAACAGGCCTGTGGCCTAGCAGTACAATGCTCCTACCTTCCAAAGGAATGTCAGGGATTCGAATCTCAGCGGAGGCAGTGTGTGTGAGTCCCAACTACGAGGAAAAAAAAATAATTCTTTATTAGATCTGAACAATGTATAATGGATGCATACTTTGCAAATAAAATATTTGTTTGTTAAAGAGATACTAACATTTCTTGTTGCATTGGATTGTCTGGATTGTAGAGTATGGTTTGGGAAGTGAGGTGTCAACATCCGGTGATGTGTACAGCTATGGCATTCTTTTGTTGGAGATCTTTACTGGAAAAAGGCCGACTGATGAGATGTTTAATGATGGTATGAACCTTCATAACTTTGCCAAGACAGCTGTTAGAATTGCAGATCTAGTATTTCTTCAACAAGGAGAGATGGAGGTGAGCGCGAGCACGAGCACCAACAACACTCGCAATCAAAATCGTGATAGTAATTACAAGATACAGGAGTGCTTGACTTCAGTATTTAGAATTGGAATTGCATGTTCACAAAAGTCACCAACTGAACGATTGGATATTGTTGATGTTGTAGCCAAGTTGCAGGTTACCAGGAACAATCTTCTTGGTACTGGTGGAACGCATGTTGGAAGAACTAATTAATAGCAGTTGTTCATGAGAAGGTACGGCCAAATTATTGACTTCATAACTGCATAATAGTTTTTCTTTTTTGCCTTCTTTTCTGCATTCAATAAAAATTTAGACCATTTCTCCATTTGCATGTTTTGTTCTTAAGCTGGCCGCACTATTCTTATCTGGGTTGGTTCATTTTTTTATATCTAATTCATTTAAGTGAAAGAAAACCTGTCTTTGTCAAAAAAAAAAAAAAAAAAAAAAAAAAAAAAAAAAAAAAAAGAAGAAGAAGAAGAAGAAGAAAGAAAGAAAGAAAGAAAGAAAGAAAGAAAGATGATTTAATTTCCCGAATTGTGTAGGCCAAAGCCAAAGAAAGTATGATAGCTCACTTTATTTATATCACATTCGAATGTCCGATAGCTAATTATGTTTCCTCTTATTCCATATGCTTGAGGCTGTTAAGATTGAAGGATTTGGTTGATTCATCAAGTGCGCAATGTCAAATATTGCTTTTGCTACTTGTTACATATACTGTTCTGCATTTTATTTCTCTTTTTTTCTTTTATGTTTTCTTTCATCTCTGATCTCTATTGTGAAGCTTTTCTCATTTAAATGTTCTTCAAGAAGGCTATTACTATTTTCTTTTATATTTTTCTTATTTAAATGTACTTCAACAAAGAGGCATGCAAGTCATTTCAACATAAATAAAAATTTTAGTGGAATGCATTGTTAGAAATAAATGAATGAAAATATTACATTGTATTGAATTGTGTAAATTATACAATAGTGTCTTATATATACGAGTAGGTTGTGAGTAGGTGAGTGGTGAACAAGTTACGTTGCCTATAAATATCCTTTATACATTCACAATGATTGGGACCGCTCTATTAAACATTAAGACGTGTTGGTTAACTTTGGTTCCATCAACCACCACTACACTAAATATATGTGACTATTTATTGAGAAGATAAATTGCACACATGATGTGTGTTATATCAATGATAAAAATCACTTACAATAAAATGAATCTTTGTAGGGTAGGGCTATGTTGAGGGTGTCGAACCTTAAGGACTGTGGTGGATTGTTAAGTATCAAATTATTCCTAATTTAATTCAAGAGAAGATGATTTTGTTGTTTTCGACTTCTAAGTTGCAATAAAATTGAAAATAAACTAAATTATCAAGGGATAATATCAAAGTGAGAAGAACTTAAGGATTAACTTCACCACTAGCCTCGTAACATGGTCAATTGTTTCAATTATGGGAAAATTCAAACTTATGTATATTCAGGAATCAAGTGGTTACAAGCACACTTTAATTCAATTAAGAATGCATATATGAATAAATACTAAGCTATAACTCATTTTCGAATAACACGAATTGTCTACCTAACTACTCTAATCTAAGGTACAGTACAACTCATCTTCTCTAGACATGACTTATCAAAACATTCATTCATACATATTCAATTAAGCACCATTGCATGATCACTACTTAAACCGTTAAGAGAAGCCTTTAGCCACCAATCTCTCACAATAAAAATAGTTTGAGTTTGATTGAAGCAAAATTAATTCTAAGACAAGATCAAGATCAATTTCATCAAAAACCAATTACTTAGGAATACTAAGTCAATTACTCACAACCATGCAATCAATATATATATATAAATCCGTAAAATTAAGAACAGTCAAACCATGATACTCAGACTAGGGTTACATCAATGCTCTAAGATGGAGTTTAGCTACTTATGGAGAAGGAGGATGTTTTCATTCATGTTGTAGAAATCATCTCTATGGACCACTAAAAACTCCTTAAGATCTTCTTCTTCAATCTTCAAAACCCTAAAAGCCACCACAAGGTAGGAGAATCGAGAGAGAGAAGAGAGAGCTCTTTAATGTGTGTTTTCGTCTTCTTTTATAGGAGAAATTGAGTTCTAACCCTTTTTGGTGGGGATTTACAACTTCTGAAGGCAATTGGGCCCGTTTGGAACCACAAAAGGCTGATTTTACAACTTTCCCACGTGTATTTTTAAGTTCTAGGATGACAGGGTTTGATCCCTATTAAGGTTGCTTAAGCCCTATGCTGAGGGTGCTAGAACCCTGTTGAGGGTGCTCAAGCCTTATTGAGGGTGCTTGAGCCCTATTTTTACACATAACCAAATTTTGACCCAAAAAGTTCTGAAGCATCTTTTTCTTCATACTTAGCCATTGTTCTAACTTTTTCCTTCATGGTGCTCGAGGGTGCTCGAGCCCTATTAAGGGTGCTCGCGCACTATATACTGAATTTCATCAAATATTTCCTTTTTGAGTCCCGAATGGATCTGGAAGGACCCTAGTATGTGTCTTAGCATCGGGAATTTCATAATAAGCTCTAAATACATGGAATTGACCGTCTTTTTAGGTAAAAACCTACAAATAACAAGATAAAAGCATCACTAAGGCCTTATCATATACACGTTTAAGGGCTCGAATATGCAATATTCATCGTTTATCATACCCCCAAAATTACATATTGCTAGTCCCTTAGCAATATAGAACTAAACTAAAATAAAAAATAAAAACAAAAGCATAAAGTTCGCCTTTGTGGAAATCACGATTGCATTTAGCATATGCAATAAGTTTTTAAACCCCTAGGTTACCCAGTGAACGAGTTATAGTCTCATGAGGGTTTCCAGAAATGGTACCCACAATCATCCAAATTTTAGCTCAATTATCACCTGCTTAGCAAATAAAGGTATCCTAGCAATACATAAACAGGAAACTACAAAAAGTATGTAGATTATGCACAGTCAAAAACAACTTCGAACCTTCAACATCATGCACAACAATTATGGTCCCCACATAAAACTCAAATCCATATATCAAACATTCTGAACTCTGGAATCCTTTTAAAAGTGAACTTGCATCCATCTATGTTACTTATCACCCATACTCATACATATTCCATAATATTTCTCAATTTGCTAGCAAAATTTTCAAATTCTGATTCCCAAGGCATAAATAACAATTCTAATACAAGTATGCATTTTTTTTCTTCAATTTTTTTTTTTTTTAATTAACAATTCTAATACAAGTATACATGTATACATGTAATTATATATACATAAATATATTCAAATGAATTTAAAAAATAGACAAACAGAAACTGATCAAACCCAGATAGAGGAAGAAACGGAGGATCGAGTTCTGGAGCGACGCCGAGATGGAAAGGAAAAAAAGAAGATGGCGGCGATGGGGAGGTTGATCTAGGAGGCCGAAGCTTCAGCAACGGCAAGGCCACAGTTCGTCAGTGACGAGAAGGATGAAGAAGGCGGCGGCGGTAGAGTTGAAAGATGAGAAGGACAAAAAGTAAGATGGGTTATAACTTGTACCCGCAAATAGATGGGCAATGCCGAATTTAATTTTGAACACTTGTCACAATTTTATTGGGCCATGTCGATGGGTTGGATGAACTTCATCCAACCTGGGTTGGACACAAGTATTGTCCTTAAAGTTCTGAGTCAATTTATTATTTTACTCCCTTCTCACAGTTTCTAAAACAGGACACTTAAATTTGGGACGGAGTAAGTAATATTTTTTGTTGATGAATCAGTATTGATTAAAGTTATGAGCTTTTAAATGCCTTTTCCCATCATTTGCAACTTTATGAGGGCTGTCCAGGTAATGGAGTATGAGAACTGATCCTATTATGGAGCAACCTTTTATGATATTATATCAATGTTAAGAAGCATAATTACACCTTTCTACAATTTTGACATTGAACAATAAAATCTTGAAAGGTGCCACAACTTTCACCCAGTAAAAGCCTCCATGTGAGGAGACGATCTCCTTTTATTTTATTTATTTATTATTATTATTATTATTTTTTGTAAGATGGAAAAATTTATAGATAGAACAATAATGTACAAGTGACTACAAGGGCATACCCTTGGGAGAAGAAGATCCAAAAGTCTAAAGAAAAAAAAGTGATCAACAGGTCACCAAACAAAAAAGAACAGCAACAAAAATCACCAAACAAATTACAACAACAAAATCTGCAAGATTTGCATCAGCCAGGTCAATGATCTCCCACCAGATTAGCCAAGCAAGGTCTACTGCAGTCTTTGATTTGCATTGGTGCTTTGTCACATTTCTCTCAGTCCAAAGATGCCATATGACTGAGGAGAAAATAAGCCTCTGGTATTCGTGACTGAAGTTCAGAGAACTGAACCAGCTTACAAGATCCATTACCCCACCACAGTGGGGGATTGTCCATGACAGCAGATCAGCAAACCAGTCCCAGATAGTGTTTGCGAACAAGCATGTGACAAAGATATGGTCAAGATCATCAGTAGAACACCAGCAGTTATGGCAAACAGAAGCTAGATGAATACCTTTCCTATTTAGGTTCTCACAACAGAGCAGCTTATTCTGAATTGCCAATAAAGATGTGGCAGAATCCCTAGGCCTGCAGCCACTCCAACAAATTTTATGCCATGAAACAGTCCCATGTTGAGGTCTCCAAGCATTGACAATCTTCCGATTATCTCTCCCCTCTAATGTCAATGATATCTTTCTAGTAATCTGAATGCCTTCTATATAGCAGCAGTACTTGGTCTCTAGCAATAAAGGCAAAACCCAATGCATGAGGCCCCCTGCATCCAGAGGCTCGTGACATCCAGGTCACAATGGAGCAACTTTACCGATGCTTCAAGGCTCGCCCTCTACTTGGTCGCTGCCACAACTATCATGAATAACACTACTGCACCCTGTTCTCTTCCATATGTTCTTCTCCTCCATCTTCTCTCTTGCGCTCGAAGCCTCTTGCCATTGGCCCACTGAGGCATACATATTAGACCAGAGCACATACACTCCCGATTCATCTGTGTTCAACTTACCAGCGATCTCTATCACACGCTTTGCCAACTTTAGGTCACTGCTTACCCTACAACCACCAAGCAAAGCTCCCCAAATAGCTATATCAGGCTCAAACGGCATCTCTTTCACCAAAGCCTGTGCTTCCTCAAGCTGACAATTTCGGCTGAGTAAATCTATCATACAGCCAAAATGTTCCAGCTTTGGACTAATCCCGAAATGTTTCTCCATATTATAAAAGATCTTACGACCTTCTTCCAGCAAACCTCCATGACTACAGGCAAACAAAGCACTTGTGAGTGTGAAATCATTTGGTTTCAATCCTCTCTTCTGCATCAAAAAGAAAATTTTGATGGCATCTTCTATCCTCCCATGGATTGCCAGTGACCTGATCATAACGTTAAAACAAAACACATCTTTATTCCCAATTTTTATAAAAATTGTAAAAGCTTTATTAGCATCACCACATTTAGCATACATTTCTATAAGTGCAGTCCCTACAATAACTGCCAACTTAGGCCAATCTTTTATTAGGCAGTGTACCCATCTCCCAAACTCCAAAGCTCCTAAATGGGAACAAGCTGACAGAGCCGAAACGAAAGTGAACCCGTCTGGATCCACTCTTTCCAACTGCATTTGGACAAAGAGATCCAGCGCTTCTTCAAATTTCCTGTTCCGGGTGTAACTCGAAATCATAGAATTCCAAGAAACCAGATTCCTGTATGGCATTTTCTCAAAAAATGCTCTTGCTGTTTCAAGGTCACCACAACCAGAATATGCTCCAATCATTGAAGTCCAAGAAATGACATTCTTCTCTGGCATTCTCTCAAACAAATCTCTTGCATTTCTAACATCCCCAACTCTAACATAACCCGAAATCATCGAATTCCAAGAAACAACATCTCTTTCAGACATATCATCGAACAGCTGTCTAGAACAGTCAACATCACCAATGCCCACATACTCAGAGATCATCCGGTTCCACAACTCCACAGGCTTAAAACACATATCATCAAAAACCTTCCGAGCATCGTCAAATTTTCCCCTTTTCAACACACCCACCTCAAATGAATCAGCCATCCTTACATACATATTAAAAAGCGAATTGCCAACCGAGAAAACATTGTCAAAACCAGTTTTAAAAACCTGACAGTGAACTTTGATCCCTTTTATATACCATCCCAGCTCGGAGCACGAGTTTAGGACATATGGGTATGTAAAATTGTTGGGTTTGAGTCCTCTTTGAGGCATTTCATCATACATTGATATGCAGTTTTGGAATGGGCCATTGTAAGCATAGCCTCTGATCATAGCATTCCAAAGGGTGATATCTGAGCAGAAAATGCCACCCATTTGAGAGAAGATGAGATTAGGATACTCCATCTCCCCGAATTCTGTGCTCCTTCGGAGAAATTTTGACAGAATTTGGATGTTTCCGTCTAGGGAGGTTGTGACAATGAAGGCATGAATTTGTTTTAGTTGTTTGAAGCTGCATTTGTGCAAAAGGTTTGTGAGTTTGAGTTCTAAGAAATGAGGCATAAGCAAGTGAGAGAATTAATTAACTAAAATAACTAATTGTTTCCATAAATATTCAAGAGATCTGCAAGCTCACGTAGCAATGGTCCTGACTTCACCACAAAATAAAGTTCAGATGGTTGGTCTTCAACTTGGGCTTGCTTTGATGATGAGTAGGTTCTTGTTTTCTTGGGCCCTTCTGCGGGCTTTCATTGACGAAAGCAGGCTTGACAGGCCCGAGTCTTCGTTTGTAGGACTTTGTTTGAGGGGGCCATGCATGTAGGCTTGGGCCTTGTTAAAAAATCATGTGCGCCGCACATGAACCCCGATGTGATCCATGCCTTGTGCAATTGTTTGTTGCATCTTTTTAACGAAAAACTTTTTGAGTGGATGTTTGTTACTAATTACTAGATCAAGACACTTTATTTCGATCCAGATTAAGCCTGAAATAGAAATTATGATTTGTGGAATAAATAGTTCATTTTGGGTGAGATTCACAACAAATACAGTTTTGTTTTGTTTTATTGAATTAGACAAGGGAAATGATAGTTACATGGAAGTCTTATACCGAATTGTTTGGCAAAGTGACGTGGTTGTCTAGCTGGCAAAGAAAGTGATTTGTCGGGTAGAATGAAGTGATTTGTTTACCCATTTGCTGATTCACTTTTACTATCTCACCATCTCCAGTTTCTCTCTCTCTCTTGCACAAATTAGAAACCCTCTTGCAGAGAAATTGTTCCCAGGGCGTAACTAGTAATGGGCTAACCTCCCAAGTCCAATTGAAAAAAAAATTAGTACTATTGTTTTAATAAGCTCATGTACTACTCTTTCTCTTCCTATTAGCCCTGCCCAGCCCAGTTCAATCCATAGTATTTTCATAAATAAAAGGAGTTATTAAATATACAAAGGCCAAGCTTTAAATATGAGCAAATCTGCGAACCATGGACAGTCGAATCACAAAAGAAACCATACTAAAACATAACAGGGTCCAGCCCATCAAACCAAACACATTGTTAGTCTATGGAAGAAGACCTAAAGTCTTCGTGTGTAAGGCACTAAGGCATAGGTGGATGGATATCAAGGATTATTATTGTTGATTCAATGAAATATTGATTTTTATTTTTGTAAAATAAAATAATAAAAAAAAAATTGTTAAAATTGGGTAATTTACTATATAATGGATTAATAACTAGTCAGGGGTGGAGCACATAGGTCTTACTTTCTAATGTGAATTTATTGATAAGGAACATATGTATCTTGCATTTTGTGTTTGTTTTAATACTTGTATAAAACATACTTCAGTAGATTCTTGACTGTGAAAACACGTTAGAGTTTAGAAGTGTAAATGATTTAGAAGGTCGTAAATTATTGGGTTTAATTGAATAACTGATGCATGAGAATTCTGTATTTAAAATATGGATGACACACTAAGTAATCATGGGTTTAATTATTTTTAGCCTACCTACTTTGCAATCCTTGCTCCGCCCCTAATCGTCCCCAATTTCTCTCTCTCTCTCTCTCTTTCTCTTACACAAAATAGAACCCCTCTGACAGACAAAGTTTCTCTCACCATCCCCAATTTCTCTCCATCTCAATCGTGCACAAATTAGAAACCCGTTTCTTTGCCATCCCTAATTTATCACTCTTGCACAAAATAGAGCCCCAATTTTTCAATGGTGTTTTCTTTTCCTCACTCGCTCCTGGTTTCCGGTTTCACCCGGCCGACGAAGAACTCATTTGGTACTATCTCAAGCATAAGGTCTAAGTTAAACCCTTCCGATTCGACGCGATCTACAGCAACGTACTCCAAATGTTTTGACGATTTACAACAAGCTTTTAACGATTTGCTGCAACTCCAAAGGTTTCGAATTTCTGAGGTATGTCTTCCTTTGTTATATTCTCTTTGATTTTTTATTTTGTTTTTGGAATTTGGTTTTTTAGATATGTGGTGACATCGATTCTACAATTATGGGATACTGTATATTTTGTTCATTGATTTTTATATTTACATTTTATATTTATTTTTCTCAAACATTTTTCTTCTTTATTAGTATCTTCTCATGATTCACGTAGAAGTATTGTGTTATATAAAAGCAGGGAATGAAAAAAAAAAAAAAAAAAAAGGGAGTTGTGAGAATGTAACCAATTTTTACTGGAATGAGACTTCAACAATTATTTAATAAAACTTAAATTTGTTAATGCATTTACATTGTTGCTTTGCTTTATATGATCAGTACTTGTTAGGCTTTTTATTTGATTAGAAATGGAAGAAGATCCACATGTGCAAGATGCTGAAATGCATTGTGATCGTGAGATTGGTAGTGATGATAAAGGAACTGAGCAAGAGTTAGAAGAAATGCTAACTAAGGATGAAGTGGAAATACCCATGCCGGGATGATTTTTCAGTTCGAAGAAGAAGTTCATAATTATTATAACAATTATGCTAAGTGTCAAGGTTGAGGGAGAAATCCACATGGTCCGATACGACACCGTTTTTCTGCAAAAAAGAGAGAGTAGAAGATCAATGAATCTCGATGGCACCGGCGTGGTGCCTGCCAAGAGTTCTCCGACGATCAAGTTAGTCACTAGAGGTCTAAAAGAAAGACAGGGATTTAATAATAGTTTTTTGTCGTACCTTTATTGACTGGTAGGATCTCATTCTTATAGTCGCTCTCCCTTAGTTCATTTGCGAGATCAGAGGAGATCCGTTTGTGCGAGATTAAATAAGATCTGCTTATGCGAAATCAGAGGAGATCCGTTTGTTGCCAGATTTGTCGGGGATATGATTTAACCCTTTTGACTTCCTCAAATTGTGCCAAGGTTATCCTTACCCTATTGAACCACGTCATCTTTCATTATCCTTGATAATGAAATATTATCATTCTTATCCAATGAAAATATCATCGTTCGAAAGTCGAAGAGGTCTGGCGGCTGGTCAACACTTAGTTGCCTCTATCATTAGGTAAAGGTAGGTTAGGTTTATTTTTCCCTATCAGTTGCCCCCCATTCCCAAGGTTGCTCATCTAGCTTTGGGAATGTGAAAATTTTATTTTATTTTATTTTGCCCAGTGCACTATTCACTTGAACAATAAAATTTTATTGTATTTTATTTTATTTTATTTTTTTTGTGCCCGCAGGTACTATTCACTTGAACAGTAAACTTTTTTTTTTTTTAAGTACGTTTGGGAACTCTCACCTTGGGTACTGTTCCCTTGGGTAATGTTTCTGTGGGTACTCTTTCCTTGGGTAATGTTCTCTTGAGTAATATTTCCTTAGGTACTGTTCCCTTGGGTAATCTTCCTTTGGGTAATATTCCCTATGGTGGAATTAATACAGATACCAAATCAAGGTTCTATTTTGGAAGGGCGTGAATTCAAACCCATGGTCAATGACTTTTAGTGATGTAAAACTAGATTTTTCTTTTGAAAATCCAATATACTAGTTGTAAACTTCATAGGTTTCAGTTAGCCCATCCCTTTGGCAAAGGAATAAATTTTACGAGCTTCACTCAGCTCATCACTCCTTTAATAAGGGAACGAGCTTCACTCAGCTCGTCCCTTTAGTAAAAGAATTAAATTTTACGAACTTCACTCAGCTCATCCCTTTAGTAAGGGAATTAGATTTTTGTCAAGCATTGGGAATGCCAAGTCCTACTGAACTAAGCATGCTTGATGATTACTTTCTTGCCCTTTTTAATAAGGGAATTAGATTTGCTCGAACGTTGTGAGTTCACCCTTTAATAAGGGAGTAGTTAACCCTTTGTCTCTTTACCGATGGAAGAAGATGAAGTTGACCCTTCGTTCCTTTATAGGGGAAAGAGGTGTAGTCTGAAGGAGGGTGACCCCTTTAATACAAGAAGTAGTCGTCTCTCTAGTAAATGAAGGAAGCTTTAATTATCTCACCCTTCTAGTCGGCTTCTTGTCCATTTAATGAGGGAAGAATGTGTTGTTGGCCCTTGGTCCCTTTAATGAGAAAATCTTTAATAAGGTGTAGTTGGCTGATGAGCGCTGAAAAGTGCGTATTTAAACCCCTTAAGCTTAGGCATTCTAGTACCTTTATCTATCTTACTTTACCATTTTAGATTGATTTCGTGTTATTTCCATTTTCAGGCACTTATCCCGAAAATAAGCTAACTCAGCCAAATAAGAACAGAAATGAAGCAATTCTGGGATGAATCAAATAAAGGAGCCAAGTGGAAGCAAAAGGAAGCAAAAGGTGGAATTCAACATCTTCGATTGATCTCAGATCAAAGTTCGATCGATCCAAGATGATCAATCTCAGCACTTCAAGATGGATCTGAGCCATGATGACATTTTCAGAGATCTCAAAGTTCGATCAATCCAACATCATTCTTCGATCGATCGAACTACCTTGTCCTTATCCAAATGATTAATCTTATCTAGTTGTACCACCCTACCAACTACTTTTGTCCTTTTCCCAAAAATATCTTCAAATATCTCAGATTTGTTTTTATCCAAAAAGGCACCGCCATTGAGGATCAATCCAACTTCAGTTCGATAGATCTTAGCCATGTTTGATCGATCAAAGTTTAAGGTTCGATCGATCGAACTTCCTCCAGTGCGAAAAAGTTAAATTTCCAGCTCATTGAAAGCTGTCCTTATCCAATCATTGGGGAATATTTTGTGCATGACCCCAGCTCATTTTGTGTGTCACTTGACCTACCTATATATAGAATATGATACACTTTTTGAGAAGGGGATACTAAGATCAATCTATCACAATAGAGGCTATTCTTAGGGAGGAAGAAAGGAGGAGAAGGCTAGAGACACAAGCTTGGGAGCTCTTCATCAACCAAGGAGTATATTTCTTCCATGGAGTTTGTCTTTGAGGGTTAGAGAAGCATTACCATAAGTGGCTAGACATCCTCTTAAGGCTAGAGTTAGCCCCAAACATGCTTTCTACATCTTGATTTTGTGTGTTATTGAGGGATTATTGTTGTAATACATGTTTTGGCACTTTTATATATATAAATCTTGTTTATTCAATGATTTATGTGGTTTAATGCTTCCAATTGATCATTTCATTCTATCCATATGTCTATGTATGCTAGAATAGATGTTCTTGTGTTTGTCTCTATTTCTTGTGTT